GGTCAAGAACTCGCTCGCGACGCGCCGGGCCTCGGGCGCCGACAGGTCGACCGACGCTGCGACAGGCGCGAGGTGCGCTGCGTTGCGCCGCCGGCCGTCGCGACAGCCTCGGTGCGGGCGCGGTTGCGTCGCCGTCGAGAGCTGCTGGCGGTGCGACCGAGTCGTCGAGCGAGGCGACGGAGGATTGCCGAGGCGGGGCGGTGACGGGTGCGGGCAGAGGTGGCGAGGCCGGAGCGGCTTGCGGGGCGCCGAGGACAAGGGACGAGCCGCGCGGTGGTGGGGGAGGCGAGGTCCGGTCGGTCGGCGGGACGAAGGGCTCCTCGCGAGGAGCTGCGCTCGAAGATGAAGAGGGAGGGAAGAAGGGCGACTCGCGTCGCGGACGAAAAGGCTCTGTGGCGGCCGCCGGCGCGGGCTCTGACGTTGGCCGCCCCGCCCCGGTCGGCTCCTCGGAATGCGGCTCGTCGCGCATCGTCGCTCGCGCCAGGCGCGACGCAGCCGAGCCGACCTCGACGCTCTCGCTGAGCGTCGACGGGTCAAAGCCGAGTTCGAGCGGCGGGAGCCGACCTGGGCTCGGCTGCGTGCTCGGCTCACCGACACGCACAGGCGCGTCCGTCAAGCTCCACCCACCGCGACCGACGCCGGCCGGTCTCGCCGCGGCGGCGCTCGGCGAGCCATCGTAGCGCGACGAGGTCGGCCCGCCGCGCCGCAAGCCCGCCGCGCCGTCCTGCACGCGCCGGCTGACGATCGGGCTGTCGTCGTCCTGCATCGGCGACCCCTGCTGCAGGGACGGCGAGCGAGGGCGGAACGAGCTCGCCGGCGAGCGGCTGGGCGAGTCGAGGTGCGACAGGCTGCGGCCGTGCGACGACGTCGAGCGGGACAAGGGAGGGATCGACAGGTCGGGCGAGAGGAGCGAGGTGCGGGTGAGGATGGGCGACTGGCTCGGCGAGCGAGACCGTGCAAAGGCGTGCGAGCCGTCCTCGTCGCTCTTGGCGCGCCGCGCCGCGCCCGACAGCAGGAGCGGCTTGGGCCCGTTCGAGCCTGCTCGAGCCATGTCGACGGCGCTGAGTCGAGGCGACGAGATGGGCGAGATGTCGCGGTCGCCGGGCCCGCCGGGAGGCGTGAAAGGTGCCTCGCGAGGGCTGCCCGGCCGCCGCTCGCCGCCGCGGTTGGACCCGGTGCTCGCGACGAGGCGCCCGCCGGCGTCGCGCAGCTTGACGAGGCGCTCGGGCCCGTCGTGCGCGAGCTGCTCGGCAAGGAGCTGCGCCTTGACCGACGCGTTGGTCTGCGCCTTGAAGAGGGCGGCGGCCGCGTCGCTCGACTGGAGCCGAGCCGAGGCCGACGAGGCCGACTGCGCGGCGGCGAGCTGCAAGTTCGTCGCGCGCTTCTGCAGCGCGGCGGCGGCGTCCGAGGCGGCGAACCGAGACAAGGACGACTTGAGGCCGCCCCAGCCCGACGCCGCACGGTCCCGCAGCGACGACGCGCCGCCCTCCTCGTCCTCGTCCTCGACGCCGTACTCGGCCTCGACGCGCAGCTCGTCCTCGATCAAGGACGCGATCGTGTTGGTCGGCTGATCGACGCGCGCCGGAGGAGGCGGCAGGACCTTGCCCTCGACCATCGTCAGGTTGTCGGCGAGGTCGACCGTTGCGGACGAGCGCGGCGACGAGAAGGCGAGCGAGCCGAACCGCTGCCCGAGTCGAGACGGGCGCGAGGCGTCGCTCCCGGCGGCAGACGAGCGATCGTCGAGCTCGTAGTCGGCGGCGGCAGCGTCGGTCGCCTTGGCGGACGACGCGGACCACAGGCGCCGCCCGAACACGGTGGCCGAGCGAGTCGGGGTCGTCGTCACACTCGACCGCGTGCTGCGGCCGGCACGACGCTCGCGAATGTCGGCCGCCGTGCGAAGGAGCGTGTCGATGCCCTCGCCCTCGATGCGCAGGTCTTGCAGCGCCGACATGATCTTGGGCAGTTTCTGAAACGCAAGAGAGGTGAGCGCATTCTCTATATGAGAGGCGAGAGGAAGGAGAGACGCACAGCGAAAGGCGAGATGATCGTCTGCCGCTCCATCTCGACGACGGCGAGCGCGAGGTCGAGCAGGTGGCTCAGGACCGGCGACAGCGTCTCGACGGCTTGCGGACCCTCGGCGGACGGGTACAGCGACAGCACTCGACTGCAGGCCAAGTGGTACAGGTCAGTATCGAGGCGACGAGGCGAAAAAGGAAGAGCGACAAGGGCGGGCTCACTCCCAGATGCGGACGACGTCGGGCAGAGGAAACTGCGGACGTGAGAGGGGTCAGTCGGCCATTCAAGACACTCGTGAAGGGAGGGGGACGCACCTCGTTGGCGAACACGGTCGTGAGCCACCGAATGACGACAGCGCTCAAGTCGACGTCTTTGCGGTCGAGGGCGTCGGCGACGGTCGGGTCGAGAAAGAGGAGGAGCGAGTTGAACCGGGCGACGGTGGCGCCGAGGCCGACAGCTGTCGGCGCGGAAGCGGCGGGCGTGTCGAGGCTGGGGACGTACAGGTCGCGGAGCTGGGACAGGAGGCCACCGAGGGCAAAGAAGGTGGCGGCCTCGCGCTCGAGCGGCGAGGTCGACGAGGGGCTGGCGGAGAAGACGAAGGCGAAGATGGCGGCGAGGTACGACATGCCCTGCACGAAGCTGACGCCCGGGTTGAGGAAGGCGTAGGCGAAGAGCGGGCGCAGGAGGGCTCGCCGGCGAGTGTGCGGCTGCGCCGAGGACGGAACCGACGCCGAGACGTGCTCCCGACCCTCGTCGGCCGCGAGAGCCAGCGCCTGCTGCTGACTGGCGGCCTTGACCGCATCGAGGCGCGCCCACAGGACCTCCTCGCCGTCCCCCAGCTCAACCTCGCCGCCGAACCAGGCTAGGGCGCCGAACGTCCGGTCGACGTCCTGCTCGATCTCTCGCAAGAGGAGGTCCTCCTTGGCGAGTGGTGCGGATGCACTGGGTGGCGCGAGCGACGAGATGCGGGTCGAGATGTCGGCGAGGAAGGCCGAGTACTGCTCGACGAGGGACGACGGGGGAGGGAGGGCGAGCAGGAATGCGTAGGCGGTAGAGCGCAGGTGCTTGGGGTCGTCGGGGATGCCTGTGCGGGGCAAGCGTAGGTCAGTCGCACGTCCGAGGGCTGAGCTGGTCGCCGTCGAGGAGGTTGAGCGAGGGAAGGAGGGGAGACGCACCGTGGAAGCACAACCGTTTGAGCTCATCTTGCCGCCACTGCTCGGCGCTCTGGGGCCCACGGGGATGCAGGCCGGGTGCGCGCTCGCCTATCGCGGCGAGAGAAGGAGGCGGAGCGGATGGTGAGGAGGGGGACGAGGTGGAGCTGGACGGGAACGGCGCGAGGAGCGACTCGAATTGCTGGACACTGTGCGTGCAGACCATATCAGCTCGTGCGCCTGCAACATCGCTGCCACGAGAGAGCGAGTCGGGGACTCACCGTTCGAGATGACGAGGTGCCATGGTCGGTCGGCGGCCGCACAGGACGAGTCGGGGACCGGTGTGGGCGCGTAAAGTCCCTCGCACTTGATCTCGAGCTACCGCAAGCGGGCGCAGGAGTCGAGGTGGGTCAAGACGCGGCGAGGTGGAGCGGCGAGGACGAGAGCGCGCACGAGCAACTTGGGCCTTTGTCCTCGTCGCTCTCATCTTTCGAGCGAGACGGGAGACAAGTACATCGCACAGGCTAAGAGGGACGCGCAAGCTACAGGGTCCGGCGCGAGGGCTAAGAGGGAGAGAGACTGCCCCTCGTCGGCTGCTCCGGCGCTCGTTCCTCGCCCAGACCGACACGCCCGCCTCCCTTCTGCTCAGGTACCGATAAGCCCCTCGTTGCGAGCCTGCCGCCACGCTCGTCGAAAGTCGTCCGTCACGTACTGCCGCGCCTCCCTCGAAAAGCTGCTCTCGTCGCTCGCGCCGTCCTCCTCGCGCTCGGCGCCGTGCTTCTTGCCGCGGTTGTGGATCCGGTCGGGGTCGTACGGCGACAGGTACCGCTTGTAGGCGACCGACTCCCACAGGTGGTACGTGAACTGCTTGTCGCGGGTCGGTGCGAGCGGCGACGGACGGTGGAACGAGTAGACGTCCGAGCGGTGGACCCGTCGCAGGGCGTCGTCGTCCCTGTGAGTGCGGTGACGGAAATCGCGAGTCAGAGTGAAATACAGAAGAAGGGAACGAGGAGAACGAGCAGGCGGACCAGAGCGGCCAGAAAAAGGCAAACTTGTTGAGGACGGTGACCTCGGTCGGGTACGCTCGAGCCAAGTCCTGCACGACACGCCGTCGACGTCGGTGAGCAGGATGTGCGTCTGATGAGGAGGAAGACGAGAGTCGGGACGGACCCAAGGAGTAGCGACGCTGTGCTTGGCCCACAGCGACTTGTTGAAGGTCTGGTACGTGTCGATCCATCTCGCTGCGGGGCACGACGAGCGTCAGGACGGCTCCTGTCGGACGTCGATCGGGTCACATCACCGAGGAGAGAGCTGGGGAGGAAGGCGCTCGACGCACCGACAAAGCTGCTGTACGGCTTGGCGAGGATGACGGCGTTGCACAGGCCCGACGGTGGCAGCGCCGGGTCGAGGTTGGGCTGCGACTCCATGCCCATGACGACCTCGTGGCGGTACAGCGGTGCAAGGTCTGCGAGAGAGATAGACTAAGTACGTCAGGCCATGACGGGCTCGAGAGCTCGAAACCGAGTAGGCGAGGGTGGCGACGAGTGGCGAAAGAGAGCGAGACGCACCTCGGATGACGAGCACGTCGGCGTCAAGGTAGATGCCGCCGTACTTGTACAACGCCTCGAGGCGGAGGACGTCGGCCTTGTGCGCGTAGTGCTCGACCGCGTTGCCGAACACCTCGGTGACGTCGCGCTCGACCACCATCTCGAGGCGGGTCGTCTTGCTCCGGGCGACGCTCGCGACAAACTGGCGCCAGAACCACGAGTCCGGCTCGTAGACGTGGTGGAAGAAGATGACCTCGGGCTTGAGGACGACGAGCGCCGACGTGAGGCAGATCCAGTGGACGAAGTGGAACGGGGTGCCGCCGAACGTCGGGGACAACCCGTAGACGTAGTGGCAC